AAATGTGGACAATGCTAGAATGACTTATATTATAAAACGGAGGGAGTAGCAATCAAAGTCAGTGACAAATTTTGATAGTACCAACCCACTAACACAATAACTCTACTGGTGTAGTGGTGTGGTTCTCAACTTATCATCACATACATATAGAATATACGTTCACTTTGCCATCTTATTGTGATTCATCATGCATGAAATTAATTAGATACTAGAGGAAGCCAAAACCATATCCATATGTCCTACATTAATGATTTTGCCAATTACAAGCCATGAGAAATATACTAGGGGCGGAAATTTTATGAGATCATGTAGGATCCCCTTTGATGTTCACTTGATATTAAAAGAAAGGATATGATAACGTTTGAGCTGCTAATCATGTTAACAGATGATATTTTGATGATGTATAGCTCAATCGCTTATTTAAATTAAACAGGGTGTACGGAGAGAGAGTATCTATGCTCCTTTCAAAAACTTTAGTTTATGTAAATTGACCCATGATATTTTCTGATATTACGTAATTAATAGTCAAATATTTGGTTCAGTCAAATAAATAGCATAAGATATTTTTAGGCGAAGTTCCATTTCACCTAAAATGGAAAAAAATGGTATTTCAACCAGTCGACATCGTTTGAAAGTGGCATTTCAAGGAAACCACACTGTGAAGTGGCATTCGAGCAAAACCCAATCTCGAAGATGGCAAAAATATCAATTTTCTCCTCTCTAAAGTAAGGAGTAAAGTAATTATTTTTACTATTAATTACTCCGTAATCAATATAGACAATGGGCTTAGTTACTGCCTTAGACCAGGAGTATATTGTTCATGAAAAATTATCCTTTGTTTATAAGAAATAACTACCTCCATCTCAAAATATATCAACCTAGAGCTGGATCGGACATATTCTAGTCCAACGAATCTGGATAGCCCCTTGTCCATTGGACTAGGATATATCATCTCTAGTCCTAAATTGCTATATTTTAGAACGGAGGGAGTACTAGACAACGATACTCCATTTCAACAATATATGATAATCCAAAATGTCTTATCATAATAATATGAAACAGAGATGATTCTTTCTTTTATGTAGGAGTATATCTTAGTGACCTTTACGAGAAACTAGCATTTGGCTCTTGCGTTGCACCGAGATTTTGATTAAAGAAATTATCATTAATCCACTATATCATCTGTGTGCTGCATATATTTGTTAATAGTATGCGAATCCTTTAGCCTCAAAATATGTTCCTTTTGCTTAAAAAAAGAGTTTGGTGGGGTCGATCGATTGACACGCAGACCCTCTAGCATCCAGTCCCTTTTTCGTGAAAATAAAGCAAAAAGTTGATAATGGAGTGGCATGCCACCCTCTTTTAATAGAGATATCAGGTATAGAAAATATAGCTTTACTCATCACACAATTTTCCTTCTATTCAATGGCCTTTCTTTCACACAAGATGAGCCCACTATCACACGCCATATAGGATCAATTCATCCCTACATTCATAAGGCATGAGAATTATATATGTATGCATGCAGTGTATTGGCGGGTGGTTTTGCACTCCTCACTCCCTTATATATACACACATTTTTGTTAGGTAAATGATATGAACCCATGTTTCCCAATGCTATCTTTTTGATTTAACGATGACAAAAAAAAAGAGATATTGAAGTGAACCAATGTTATCGGTAACGCTATTCCGCGCTGTATTAGTTCGAGTGCCGCACAGCGTCCTCTGTTTTTCCCTTTTTTACCACCTCATCTTTCCTATGCATCCCACCTTTTCTCAGTTCGTTTTTTTCATTTTTTACCACTTCACCTTCCGTGTTTCTTCTTTTCCATCTCATTCTTTCTTCATCAATGGGCCCAATAAAATATCAACCATCCAGATTTTTCTATTTTTCGTTCCTTCTATATAGTTTTTCTGTTTTCGCGGTTTTAGTACCGTCTAGTTTTTCTTTCTGAGTTTTCTGTTTTTTATCTCCGCACGTTTCAGAATAACAAATTTACTCGTTTTTCATTTACTCCCAGCCTCCCACATTTCCTCATTCAGAAGTAACAAATTTATTCTCATTCAGAAGTAACAAATTTAATCGCATGGATACCTCCACATCGTATGACGCCATGTCGTAAAAAAAATACTATTACCTTACAACACTAGTAATTCTTTTACCAATATTATAAATATTGTTTAGATTTCGTGGTCTGTAAGTAAAACAATTACTACCTTCCTCTCGATATAGCGCATGATCTCGTAGCCACCGTGTAGTATTATGTTTACTGATGTGTTCAATACATAATATAAGAGTAAAAACTGAGATTTCGTGGTCTGCGAATAAAACAATTACCACCTTCCTCTCGATATAGCCATGATCTCGTAGTCACCGTGTAATAATATGTTTACTGATGTGTTCAATACACAATATAAGAGTTAAAATTGATACTAAGAGTATTGTTGATCTGTATCACAAAATAGTCATATGAATGAAAAAATTACAGGCTCAATCACACACAATCAATAAAATTACTCACAGGTGAATCAAACTAGAAAAAAAAATGATTCAGTCAAAAATCCATTTGGTGGCTTTATTGGATCTTGCTATAAAGATGAAGAGCACAGTCTGTGTCTTGTGATTGGTAGTGGAGAGGGCAACTAGGTGGCAAGCAGTAGTCGGCCATGGAATTATGGAAGGATGTAGTGGTGTGGTATAGAGATGAGCTCGACGTTGCACAGTATTAGCCATCCATCATCTAGCAAGCACGAAAAAAAATACAAAAACATTCTCGTTCATGTCAATAGAGATGACGAGTAAAACAAAAATAGTAAACAACATCCATCACCGGCGGACTCCACCCTATCCTCTGCGCCCAGCCACATGGAGCACGATGTGCAAATGTAGGACCTGTGCAGCCCATCAATTGAGATCAGGTAACATTGGAGATTGCACGTTAATTTGATTTGCAAAAAAGAAAAAAAAATTTGGGCTTCATGCGTGAAGTTGAAGGAGAGTATGCAGATGCAAATCAGAGTGTCATTTTCTTACTTGCTTGTTCTATCAATGTTGGCGATGTGGAGCAGCCGCTGGTTGTTGCTATTGGCCTAGGTAAACACCTCCTTGCTGGTTAAGGTGCTGCCCAGCGTCCGGCAACGAGGCCCGAAGCAGTGCTTTCACCTCAACCGCCACCGGCCACCGCCATCAACCGCCACGGTGTTGTCGTCCTCCTCCATGGTGTGTCGCCGATCTGTGGGCTGGGGTGGTGGATCGATTCAGATCCGAAAAAAAGGAAAAAAATGAAGTGGGGGCGAGAGTGGTTGGTTGGGTATGGGAAAAATAGAATTTATACCGGAAGCAGAGAAGTTGTTTTTATCGAAGTAAATCATTTACTCCGATAATGGTGGGAGCATGTGGGGTTGGATCGGAAGCAGGGAGTTGTTTTTATTATCGAAGTAAATCATTTACTTGAATAAAGGTGGGTGGTTGAGGCGCGCGATACGAGTAAATCGTTTACTCCGACTTTGGTAGGAGTGGGATGACAGGATGTGGGGTGGGGCGGGCCTGGGTTGATGCATGTTTGACGCTTGGAATATTAGGAGCACGCTGCGCTCCTACTAGTAGTTCTACCAATGGTATATAAATATTTATTCTAATAAACTAGACTTTGATTTAAGATTTAGGAGATATGCAGGAGATAGGCTATCTGCATGAATTATGATGGGTTTATGGGCTCTAAATTAACCAATTATGAAGAAGAAATCTATTCCATACATAGTAACCATTTGGAGTCACACACAAGTAGAAAAATATCATATGCACATCAACAGTCTATATGACATGAGAGATGATGTAGACCAAACAGTGAAGAACTAACTATCAAGTTAACAAGTCTACATGACATGAGAGATGATGTAGACTAAACAGTGAAGAACTAACTATCAAGTTGTGCCATTGTCACTTTGATTCTTACAGCTACTGTGGTTTTGTTGTTGTTATTTTCTTTCCCACAATGTGATAAAACACTGTTGATACTAAGCGCTATAAAATAAAGCTTAATATAAAAGTGGTGTCCACATCGTTATGTCAAATTCTTCGTAATTCGATAGGTATTGTACAGACACAAAATTAGTAACATGGGTAAAAATAAACATTTTAGGAGAAAAAAATGTTTTGCTTCCGTGATAATAATAATAATAATAATAATAATAATAATAATAATAATAATAATAATAATAATAATAATAATAAACGGTAAGTTACATTTTTCTACGTTTCCATCTATCCGTGATCTTCTGGGCCAGTGGGCTGACCACTGGAATCCCCACCGCCGCACGCACGATTTCATTCCCGAAGCTGTCGCTTTTCTCTCCCCTCATCGGCGGCGGCAGCGGCGGCGGCGGCGGAGGAGCGGCGGTGGTCGTCCTGCGGCGAAGGTCGTGTGTTGGGTGAACTCCCAGACTCGGCCACTCGTCGATCGGTGATAGGGCACCGCTGCAAAAGGCAAGCAATTTTCTCGTTAGGGTTTGCTCCAAACCATCTCGAATTTCACATGTCTATATGGATCGAGAGACCTTTTTTTCCACTCTAAATCTACTACCGCAGAAATTTGTTTAATTTGCCCCAGTTGGCATTCTTGCATTTCCGAACCTGCAGGGGTTTACAGTCTAGTGTCTGCAATCACTTCAACAAAATTAAACAAGTGGTTCTTGGTTAGGTTCTATGCCTGATCCAAACTCCGCAGAAGGATTCAAGATTTGGGTGCCCAATTTTTTTTGTTGGATCACAAGAAGGAGGTGGTAAACAGATGGGTGTGGTGACAAGGGCCAAGAAGAGGATGCTGGATGAGGAATCCAGCAACCCACAACTGGCGCCCAGAGGAGGAGAAGACTTGATAAGCCGCCTCCCGGATGATATCCTCATCAGCATCCTCCTCAGCAAGGATGCTGCCCGCACACAGATGCTTTCGCGGCGGTGGCAACTGCTCTAGCAATCGGCGCCTCTCAATCTTGAGGCCATGGTCGATAGCAGCACGATGGGGAAGGACGTGACCACCATCGACACCGTGCTTCAAGCCCACAGGGGCCGTGTTCGTCAATTCTCCCTCAGCTGGACATTGGACTACAACCACTTCTTCATCGTCGATTACTTGCTTGGATCCCCTCAGCTCTGCAAACTCCAGGAGTTTGAACTGTTCTATTTTAATATTGACGCTCAAAATCTGTGGTTCCGCTGTCTGTATTCTGTCTAGCGCATACTCTATGTGTTCTTAGGATTTGTTCAACGTGTGACACACTTCAGTTTCCCATGGAGACTGATTGCATGCCCAATTTCCCACACCTCAAGGAGCTCACCCTATCCAACATCAACATCGTCGATGGGGAGAGGGGAGGGGCAGCTCGCGGTGGGAGGAGCGGCGTTGCCGGTGGGGAGTGCGGGAGGGGCAGCACGCGGTGGGAGGAGCAGTGTTGCCGGTGGGGAGAGAGGAGGGGCACCACCGGTAGGAGAGAGAGGTGGCCTGCGGTGGAGGGAGGGAGGGGAAAAATGAATTAGGGTTATGGATTTTTTTTGCCCCGGCGGTTTTGATGGATTCAGAAACGATCTGAGCCGTCCATAAAAACGAACAGCTCAGATCGATCCCATGTCGGGCTAGCCTCCATTGTCGGGCCGCATCACTGCTGGGCCGCGCACACTTCATGGGCCACGCGTGGGCCGACGGTCCAACAAAACACTTAGGTTAGACATTCGGTTGGAGACCACACAACAGTGAAAGGAGAAGTAGGAGGAGCCCAATTAGACTTCATGTTGGGCTGAACGCTTTCTTGCGGGCTGAGGCGGAGGAAGGAGAAGGGGAAAGCGGGCCGACTCAATTGCGGGCTAAAGAATAAAATGGGCTGAAAAAGGCTCAGAGAGAAAGGATGATTTTTATTTAAATAAATGCTGAAATAATGTTTGTATTATCAAAATTAGCAATTAAGCTATGGAAATTCCAATAAAATTCCAAAGAGCATAATTAATCATGGAGAATTTAATAAAATTAAATCCAACCATATCATTTTATTTCTCACACTTACTTTACTTGTAAACTAATTTAATTATACACCTACCTACTTAAAAAATACCCAAATATTTCAGAAAATTTGTATTTCAATTAATTACATAATGTAAATCTTTCTCAACTTTTCCTCAATTTTCTGGTATTTACATTTCTCGTTGCAATGCACGGGTACTTTTGCTAGTACGTAGAATAACATATATAATTCCTTTCTCTATCCGTTTATCTCATGACGCAACTCAAACAAAGGATCCAAAATGATCCAGATATGTTCTCTCCGAGAGTCCTGTCCTTTGCATATCATGCAGTATTATGCTAGGATTGGTTGAGAGAACGTGTGCAGTGTGTAACACCACCGGTCCTAGCTCGATGTCTCCTATTAGGACCCTTCTAATTAAATGCAACCCACTATGGTCGCTCTTAGGGAGTAGTAATTAAATCAGTGTTGCTGTCATATTTTGTTAGCACGAACACACATTTCAAATATCAATCCAATTCGAGATCCAAAGAAAATAAGAAACCGGGAGCTAGGTATAAACGAATAAAACATTTCTCGTGACGCTTCAATCCTAATGAAATTGTTGTTGACAACAGGTAGAGTCCTCTAAATTTTTTTCGCCGAAACAGAATCATCTAGATCTGTTACTCGATAAATAAGGAGTTGAGCTAGCCGCATGCTTTTTCATTCCTTAAATCATATGACATCCTTGTTCCCTCACACAATATATACAAGCCTCGTTCTTGTTATATATGCATGTATCCATGATCAGTTCGTTGCACATTCAAAAACTCATAATGACTATATATCGGTTTATTGCTTGAAAAACTCATGATGACTATATATTTACTGCTATGATGTGATTTCTTGATAGGTAAACATACATCTCTCTCATTAGAGAGAAAGGAGGGTACCAACAAGCCTTTATTTAGCCGGATATTTAGCACTAGATGAGATATTGGAGGGAGGTAGGAGATATGAAATATTGGAGAGAGGCAAAGTAGGCAAAGCAATGGCCGCATACAACGCGAATTATATGGACAATCATTTTGTTTGATGTTTATTTAGCAGGATATTTAGCACTAGGATGAGATATTGGAGGGAGGTAGTAGGAGATATGAAATATTGGAGAGAAGCAAAGCAGGCAAAGCAATTGCCGCATACAACGCGAACTATATCGACAATCATTTTGTTTGATGTTCTTGGGGATGTGGTGACAAAATTGCCGTCGATTGATCCTTTGATATATTATATTATAGTAAGTTGTCTATTGATTAGAAGTAAGAAAAGTATAAACAATTGTACATATATGCTGAAAATCAACACAAAGAGAAATGTCCACCAACATTTTTATATTTTCTCCAAATTTATGAAAAATGACTCAAAATTTGTGAAAAATTATTCTTATGTGAAATCTAGACAACACATATGATATAGTCTCTCACCCTTCATGAAAATTTATACTCTTATCAGACTGTTACTATTATCTAAATTGATGTATCTCATTAGTACGAAGAACTAAAAAATATTTCTAAAACCATGCCAGGAAAGAAAAGAACAAGAGCATCCAACAACGGAGAATTTGTTTCTCATTTCATCCTATGAGTTAGAGTTTTTCACCAAGGATGGTCAATTATAAAAACAAAGAATATTCATTTTGCAGAGATTATTTAATCCATTGATCCATATATGTTCTACCGTACATGCTTTTTTAAGAGAATCCGCACCTTCTTTAAACTCAAAGGTTAATTTGATCCATGTCATTGCAAATGTACCTATTCAGATGAATGCCATAACAATTCATCTATTTGTAGCCGTGCCACTTAAATTTTACAAAATTGGAACCGTATCATCGCCGTCACATTTTCTATCTTCTTCCCCATATGCACGTAGGACCCACCCGTTATATTCATCTTCTTCCTCATCCTCATTTATCTTCTTCCTTTGACGGGAGGAGTGGTGGGGTACAGCCGGTGCAGCCGCGCCCACACGTGCAGGATCCCCCAGCCGACAGCAACATGGGCCCCGAACGGCGGCGCGGGTTGTTGACGGCGCGGAGGAAGCGCTCGGCCTTGGGGGTGAGGTGAGCCCGCAGGAGTGGCTGGACCGGCCCGTCTGGGCTATGGAGGCGCCGGAGCGCCTGCACGTGTTCTGCTAGGTGGCAGAGTTGGTGCCCATTGTGCATGCGCAAGGGGTGGCCGTCGGTAGCACGCCCCCGTCCTGCTTTGTCGTGTCTCCACCCTTCGTCCACGTTGCGTTCATTGAGTCCGCCTCCGGCTCGGACGCCTCAGGCTCCTGCTCCAATCCCAAGGCTCGGAGGAGGCCCACCCGGACTCCTCGACTCCATGGCAGCGACGGGACGGCACCAGCCAAGGGGAGGACCTCAGCGGGAAGACGTTAAAGGAAGATGGTAAAGGAGGATGAAGAAGAAGATGAATCTGACGGGTGGGTCCCCAGTGCAGATGGAGAAGAAGGTGGAAAACGTAATAGCAATGACATGGTTCTAATTTTGTAAAATTTGAGCGACATAGCTACGAATAGATGAATTATAAAGTCATTTATCTGAATAGGCACATTTACAGGCACGGATCAAATTAACCCTAAACTCAAACTGTTGAGATGTAGTAAGTCGGAGTGTTTTTTGGTTCTGAGGATGCATGTTACCTGTCCGGGATATACGTCCGGCAGTCCAAGAACATAGATGATGATGGCGAAGCTTAAAAATTATAATGAGTGTATAAATTAAAAGATGTGATTTCTTTGTAAATAGGTTAGACAACAAGCATACAGTAGGATATTTACAGAGGGCCAAATTGATAGACACAAATTTGTATCGTACACCAGCCCACTAATATATATGAGAAGAACAATGATCGACACAAATTTGTATCGCACACCAGCCCACTAACATATATGAGAAACAATGTTTCCATTCTACCAACTTATCGCAATTGCTATTTAACGTATGTGTATTTTCAGCGCACTTTTTTTTTCCATAAGTGAAAGTTTTCTTACTTTCATATAAAAGTTCTTTGATGAAAGCTTTCACATAAAATATTTCGGACGAACTTTTTGAAGTGTGCGCTAGGAATAAACCTACGCTAAACAGTACTAGGGTCCCCAGCTTATTATTGGCCACTTCATACGTTTACTACGAAGTTTAAAAGAAACACTGGTTTACTGCGCATGTAGTTTCCAACGGTAGGCTATACTGCTCACAGACATCAGGTCTTGGGCATCATGCACGAATATAAGTATGTTTTCGGTGGTAGCAATCAAAGTCATCAACATATATAAATTTTTATAAATTTTGATAGACACTATCCCACTAATACAATAACTCTACTACTGGTGTAGTGGTGTGGTTCTCAACTTATCCTTATATAATATAGAATATACGTTCACTTTGCCATCTTATTGTGATTCATCATGCATGTAATTAATTAGATAAGCCAAAACCATATCCATATGTCATACATTAATGATTTTGCCAATTAATTACAATCTATGAGAAATACTCCCTCCGTACTCGTAAAGGAAGTCGTTTTGGACAGCGACATGGTCTCCAAAATACAACTTTAACTTCTTGTTTCTATAAAAATATTTATTAAAAAGTGATATATGTATACTTTTACGAAAGTATTTTTCAAGACAAATCTATTCAAATAATTTTTATATTTTTAAACTCAACAACTTAAGAGTTATTCATGATTTATATTCCCAAGGTTTGACTTAAACATTATCCTAAACGACTTTCTTTACGAGTACAGAGGGAGTATATTGGGGACGGAAATTTTATGACATCATGTAGGATCCCCTTTGGTGTTCACTTCATATTTAAAGAAAGGATATGATAACATTTGAGCTGCTAATCACATTGTTAACAGATGATTTTGATGATGTATAGCCCAATCGCTTATTTAAATTATAAACGGTGTGCACGGAGAGAGCATCTATGTACTCCTTTAAAAAGCTTTAGTGATGGTGGCAGTAAATATGCCACATTTTAATAGTTTATGTAAATTGAACCATGATATTATGTAATAGTCAAATATTTGGTTCAGTCAAATGAATAGCATAAGATATTTTTAGGCGAAGTTCCATTTCACCTAAAATGTAAAAAAATGGTATTTCAACAAGTCGGCATTGTTTGAGAGTGGCATTTCAAGGAAACCACTCTATGGAGAGGAATTCGAGCAAAACCCAGTATCGAAGATGGCAAAATATCAGTTTTCTCCTCTCTAAAGTAAGGAGTAAATTAAAGTATTTTTTACTATTAATTACTCCATAGTCCATATAGACAATGGGCTTAATTACTGCCTTAGGTAAGGAGTATTTTGTTCATGAAAAACTTATGCTTTGTTTATAAGAAATAGTACCTCCATATCAAAATATATCAACCTATAATTGGATAAGACATATCCTAGTCCAACGAATCTAGACAACCCCTCGTCCATTGGACTAGGATATGTCAGATCCAATCCTAAATTACTTTATTTTGGGACGGAGGGAGTACTAGACAACGATACCCATTTCAACAATATATGATAATCCAAAATGTCTTATCATAATAATATGAAACAGAGATGATTCTTTCTTTTATGTAGGAGTATATCTTAGTGACCTTTACAATAACTTAGCATTTGGCGCTTGCGTTGCAACGAGATTTTGATTAAAGAAATTATCATTAATCCACTATTGCTATTTTTTTTTCTGCATGTATCATCTCTGCTGCATATATTTGTTAATACTTAATAGTATGTGAATCCTTTAGCCTCAAAATATGTTCTTTTTCCTTAAAAAAGAGTTGGTGGCCGGGTTGATTGACATGTAGACCCTCTAGCCTCCTGTCCGTTTTTCGTGAAAATAAAGCAAAAAAGTTGATGATGGAGTGGCGTGCCACTCTCTTTTAACAGAGATATCAGATATAGAAAACATAGCTAGTATTACTCATCACATAATTTTCCTTCTATTCAATGGTCTTTCTTTCACACAAGATGAGCCCATTATCACACGCCATATAGGATCAATTCGTCCCTACATTCAGAAGGCATGACAATTATATATGTATGCATTCAGTGTATAGGCGAGTGGCTTTGCACTCCTCACTCCCTTATATATACACACATTTTGTTAGGCAAATGATATGAATCCATGTTTCCCTGTACCATCTTTTGATTCAACAATGAAAAAAAAGAGATATTGAAGTGAGCCAATGTTATATAAATATTTAGGACTTTGATTTAAGATGTAGAAGACATGGAGTAGATAGGCTATCTAATTAAATTATGATGAGTTTATGGGTGCTAAATTAACTTATTATGAAGGAAAAGTCTATTCCATACATAGTAACAAATTAGAGTCTCACAGTAGTAGAGAAATATCATATGCGTATCAAAATATCTGATATGAGAGATGATACAAAAACAAAAAGGAAGAACTGTTATGTCATTGTCACTTTGATTCTCATAGCGTGATCGTGTCGTTATCATTTTCATTCCCACAATGTGATTAAGATATTACAATTATAATAATAATTGTAATAAATGGTAAGTGCAGCAGTGCAATTTTTTACGTTTCCATCTATCCGTTATGTTCTGGGTCAGTGGGCTGACCCTCTTCCATCCCGACGCTGCCGCTTTCTCTCCCCTCATCTTCGGCGGCGACGGCAGCGGAGGGCGCAGCAGTGGGAGAAGCCATGGTCGTGTACGTGTTGGGTGAACTCCCAGGCTCGTCGATCGGGGAGGACACGACTGCAAAAGGCAAGCAAATTTTCTTGTTAGGGTTTGCTCCTAACCATCTCTCGAATTTCACATGTCTATATGCATCGAGAGAATTCACCCCCTAATACCGCAGAAATTCGTTTAATTTGCCCTATTTTACATTCTTGCATTTCCAAACCTGTAGGAGTTTAGGGTCTAGTGTCTGCAATGATTTCAACAAATTAAAGAAGGGGTTCTCGGTTAGGTTCTATGCCTGATCCAAATTTCGCAGAAAGATTCAAGATTCAGGTGCCTGACTTTTCTTTGGATCACAAGGAGGAGGTGGTAACCAAATGGGTGTAGTGACAAGGGCCATGAAGAGGAGGCTGGATGAGGAATCCAGCAACCCAGAATTGGCGCCCAGAGGAGGAGAAGACCTGATAAGCCGCCTCCCGGACGATATCTTCACCAGCATCATCACTATCCTCCCCGGCAAGGATGCTGCCCGCACACAGATGCTCTCACGGCAGTGGCGACCGCTCTGGCAATCGGCGCCTCTCAATCTTGAGGCCATGGTCGATAGTAGGACGGTGGGGAAGGATGTGACAACCATCCAGACCGTGCTTCAAGCCCACAGGGGCCGTGTCCATTGATTCTCCCTCTGCTGGACATTGGACTACAACCACTTCTTCATCGTCGATTACTTGCTTGGATCCCCTCAGCTCTGCAAACTCCAGGAGTTTGAACTGTTCTATTTTAATATTTGAACTCCAGGATTAGCTCCTTGACCCTTCAAAGTCTTGGTGTGTCAGATGCTTGTTCTTATGTAGAGGGAAAGCTGGAGGAAGTAATTATCGAGAATGCCCCACTCCTAGAAAGGCTTACCCCACCATGTATACGGAATGAAGGCTTTGTTATTTGGGTTACTCAAGCACCGAAAATGAAAACATTGGGCTATCTAAGCCATAAAATTTCCACAATTGAGCTTGGAACCATGGTTTTCCAGGTAGCTGCATACATATATGCTGTTGCCATTTCTATTTTTTGGTATGTTATTTCTTCACACTCTCATACATTTCATTCACTATATCCATTTTCAGAAACTGGTTCCTGTTAGTCTGTCAAATGTGATGTGCACTGTGAAGATCTTAGCTCTTGACAGAGCTCCTGATCTGGATGTTGTTATTGACTTCTTAAAATGCTTTCCGTGCGTGGAGAAGCTATACGTTGTGGTGAGAGTTTTTTCTTTGTTAAATTCAGTGAGTAAACACCCATTTTGTTCTATTGTGCCATGGCATCGACCTTTTTTTTTTAATCTATGGTTATGTCATGTTTCTTTTAACTCGCTTTTTTTCCTTGTCAGGCGTTCATTCAGGGGAACTTCAAGAATGCACTGCGATATGTTTCACTTGAGTGCCTTGATCTACATCTTAGGATGGTGGAATTTATTAACTATCAGGGTAATATGTTAGATTTGAACTTCATCAGGTTCTTTGTATTAAATGCTCGAGTTCTAGAATGTGTGAAGCTTGTAGCCGCTCATGACAAATATGGCAGAAAATGGATGGAAAAACAACAGCAAAAGCTACAGCTTTATGGCAGAGCTTCACGAGGCATCACATTTGATTTTCAAGCTGATTACGGGTCAAATGGTTCAGTACACATGAAGCACATCAGTGATTTGACTACAGATGATCCCTTTGATAGTTCATTTTGTAGATGCCGTGATGAGGAATTATGAATTCCTTTGAAGCTGTTTATCTGTCTTATATACTTTGGTTGTATCAACCGCATGCTTAGTTTGTACATCTGAAATTTCTTGTTTTGCAATATTGCGGTGCAAGCCTGGGATATTTATTGTGCCAGAGAAGTTGAATAGCATTGATCTATTTTAGTTTTTTTTTAACTCTTTCTGTTTGGTACGACTGTGTGTTGCTCCTCACCTATTGTAGACAAAACTAGACTATGATGTTCTTGTTACTGTGGTATTCATTCCACTTTGAGCTACATCATTCTTGGTTTTAGTACCTCATTTTGGCATTAATTCGATCCCACAATGTCATTGCAATCTAGGTTTCTTTTTTGAAGTTTCTCATCAATCATCACTGGTTTTTTGCTGTCAGAATATTATTTTGTATGTTTGAACATCTTCCTGTACTTACGCAAGTGCCAGTTTGATACACACTACACAGTTTCACCTCAAATAGATACAAACAAGTTGTAAGAAACTATGTTAGCATGAAACAATTGAATGGTTAAGAAATAGTGGATATTTACTTTAAATTTGGTTCTGTTATGGAAAATTATATAACTCCCTAGTCCAACGGTAGTAAGCACGAAAGGAGATTCTGAATACTGAACCCGTTGTAGCCAGGCATCAACATTGTTATTTTTATTAGTTTTCTTTTTGTGCTACATGGGGTTAAGTGAGGCTTAAGTTTTAAGTTGCTAAGTTATTATTTTTTTATAGTTTATCTTTTGGTGCTACATGGGGTTAAGTGAGACTTAAGTTTTAGGGCTGTGTTCTTAAGTCCAAGTTCCCAACCTTACTCTCTCGCTTACAGCGCGCATGCTTTTCAAACTGCTAAACTGTGCGTGTTTTGCAAAAAATTTCTATAGAAAAGTTACTTTAAAAAATTATATTAATCTATTTTTCAAACTGCTAATCGGTGCGTGTTTTTGAAATTAATCACGCATTAATCCATTACTTCGTTTTCCTTGTCAGAGGTGAGGGTTCCCAACCCTCACCAAAGAACACAGAGTTGCTAAGTTATTGGTTTGTAAGGGTGTGTTCGCTAGTACAGGTTCCCGGGAATAGTACGCGCAGAAAACGGAACGGTCCATTAGCACGTGATTAATTAAGTATTAGCTATTTTTTTCAGAAATGGATTAATTTGATTTTTTAAGCAACTTTCGTATAGAAACTTTTTGCAAAAAACACACCGTTTAGTAGTTTGAAAAGCGTGCGTGCGAAAAACGAGGGAGAGAGGTTAGGAAAAGGAGGTGCGGAACACACCCTAAGTTGAGACTCCAGTTACAATGGTGGAATACACATGGAAGCTATATAGCCTATATATGATATAAGAGTGGAAGCTCCAAAGGTGAATCAGGAATCTTGGTATGAGATGATAGTCTTCTTTCCCTTGAAATGGAAAATTAGAACGAAATATTGCTTTTCTTTTTTACTTTTGGCAGGATCAAATATTACCATTTTTAAGATTCCAAGATTTTATAGTTTGGCGTCTTGACTTTTAACTATTTTCATGGCTTAATCCAGCTCACTCCGTTAGTGTAGCTCAACTGCATGCTTAAGGTTCATGGTGGTGGAAACTGCCTATCTATGTTCAAGTTCTAAACTTGGCGAGATGCCTGTGGTAATTTTGTGAACCTCAAGATATGACGATCCATTCTTCAGATGTACTCATATAGATATAGATAGGGAGTGCATGTGTGTGTTCGAAACACAATATATATAAGCGCCTACGTGCGTACTGTGTTTCGAAAAAAATATCAAAGTTTGACATGTCACGAGTTTGGATAGAAACGGTGGCATAAATTTCTGAGCGATCAATTATCATTTCTGTAAAAGTAGCACGGTTTCTGAACGATTTTTAATCCTAATGAAATTGCTATTGACCACATGCATGCTTCAAATCTTGAAGCATGCATGTGGTCAAAAACAATATATGGTATAATGGAGCTATGTAACCTTACTCTAACAAAAACAACATGGGTATATATAGGAAGAATTATTATATATATACGGTAGCATAAACCACATGTAATCGTCATATGTTAATCGTTGTTCTCTCACTTACACAATATATGCCTCGTTCATTTTATATGTGTGATGTGTCCATGATCAGTTCATTGCATCGAGTAACGTATGATGATTACATGTGGTTTATGCTACCATATATATATAATAATTCTTCCTATATATACCCATATTGTTTTTGTTAGAGTAAGGTTATATAGCTCCATTATACCATATATTGCTGACGTAGAATTAATTTATAATATTTTCAGCGACCAGTTAATTTTCTTGGTGGTTAAAAACAAAGCCACCAACATTACTCGTTATCTTGACAATCATGACTAAGTTACCAATGATATACTCATAGAGGGTTCCATAGAACCGCCAAGGTATACAAACTTTTCCATGTGCGTTGGCCTAACCATAAGCAAAATACTTCTCGGGAGTTCTAACCCAAACTGCCAAAGAAAATTCCCATAACTTTGCTAATTAGATGTGTTTATCTCTAATATTCAGCTACAATATACACTACGCTGTCTTATGCACGATTCGAAGTTGTTTGCAGTTTGAACCAACAACGGCACATTTTTGGGTTCATGTCATTTGATACCCTCGACACCTAAGGATATGCCCGTTGGCTAATATCAATATGATCATCACCACCAAACCAAAGTCAAAATCAATAATATATTGAGCTTTCCTTGTTCAAAGGTAACACGGATTCTGAATTTGTTTTTAAGCTTATGTAGTTTTTAATTTTATGTCGTGCTTTGCTAATTTTGTGCATTTGTTATGTGTGACTCATCAATATTTTTCAGCATTCTTGCAAGGTTGTTTCACTTCAAAATGGTCATTGGCTTAGTCTTGAGTATGATCCTGTGAGGGTGAGTTTTGCATCTGTTCATACATTTTTAGATTGGATCTGGATAGGGTGAGCTCTGCATCTGTTTATGCCTTTTACATTGGTTATGAAAGAGGAGAAAAAAAATGAATCAATCAGCTCGAGGAGTGTTTTTTTCTTTCAAGCAATAAAATGATCGATCTATACATTTATTCTTTTCCTTTCCTGCAACTAAGAAACATATATGGTGAAAACCCATAAAAACATGATCTAAAAGTTTTTCAATTCATGAAAAATTTTACTAGAGATATATAGGGTAAATTAAAGGCATGAAATATACACACAAGATCTCGAGTCCAAACTTAACTTTATTTGAAAGTAACAAACAAGACAAAATTTAGGTGAATAGCATCATATATGATACTATTTACCTAAATTTTTTCTTTTTTTTATTTCTCCCAAATATTGAAGTCGGGTTTGGACTTTGGAGTTTAGATTTTGTGTTAATGTATTTCATGCCTATATATAGAGCCTATCTCTATTTGTTTCATGAAAGAAAAAATTACTCTTGTTGAAATGGAGGCAGGACCTACTTTGCTCGATTGGAGCTAACCACATACTTTTCCTTATCATATTTATCTCACAGAACACATGACAGCATTCACGCCCATTGTACATTCAAAAAATGCATGATACTATGTGGGTTGGTTGCTATACTGTGATCTTATCCATATATAAATATATATTAAATATATATTTTCGAATGGCCTATCAGATTTGACTGGCATTATATTGATAGGGATCTTCTCCATATAAAAACATACATCTTCTCGTGCGAGGGAGGCTACATCTGCCTCCATGTTTAGGTGCCATCAAACCTTCAAACTTTATTCAGCGAAGGATGAGATATTGGAGAGAGCCAAAACGATGCCTAGATCCATAGTGCTCAAGCTAACAAAACCATCATTATTTTAATTCCTATGTTCCTATAATGTCTAAGGTAAATTTTTCTACAGGACATCACGACTTCATGGTTTTGGCGGTAACACAGCGCACAGGGTGACTTTTGGAAAAGATACTCTCAAATATTCAAATATTCTTTTAGGGAGACACTCTCAAATTTCTTTTGGTGTAGACACTCTCAAATGTTGGATATTTCTCTCTATTTCATTAAAATAATAATTTCCGGTTGAAGAGGAGAGAGGAATCGCCTAAAATGTAAAAAATATCAGCCCTCCCATCTATCTTCTCTTCTGTCTCTATCTTCCTCGGCGCAGAGGCCCGGCGCGGGCGTATGTGCAATGTAATTTTAGTACAAATACACTGTAAATTTTAGTAAAAAAAGAAGGAAAGAAATAGAGAGAAGACGGCATCAGCAAGAAAACATGGGTGTGTAAATCAAAATATTCACATGGCCCCACACAGCCTCATCGCCCCTCGCGCCCTAATCCAGCATGAAATCCGCACAAATCATGGTGTAGACCCTACGGTTAAAAAAACATCAAATACAAAGGAAAAAATCACACGACAGATATATAGAAAATTCGCCACGTACTTAACCCTAGATATATTTTCCTCTATAAATGTCTATGTACACCCTCTAGAACAATTGAGTTTTATTTAGTTGAATTTTGCCAAGTGCCATTCATATTATCTCTAGTCCTCGTTCGATTAGTCGGCGACTATAGATTCAGAGCCTCCAATAGTTGGTGTGTTGATTTGCTGGGTCGATTGGATCTACCACTTCAATCGCAACTATTCCTTTATACTTCATCACCAATTCGCAATTTTTAGATTGCATCTCACTACTAGAAAAATGATTTTTGCTAGCGGCCTATGGTGCCGCTAGCATCAAAAGGCCAGTGAAAATAATTCATTTGTGCTGGCGGACAACCAACCGCGAATGAAAATAGGGTTTCTCTGGCGGCAACAACGACTGACAACGAAAATTGGTTTTCCCTGGTGGCAATCTTAAGATACCCACCAGCAAAAACTTTTTTGGAGCGAACAAAAATGAAAATCCAGGTCCAAAATAGTTTCACAAATTCCAAATCATTGTCCCAAATAATCACAATCCCAAATCCCCAATCACAATCCAACTTGCAACATGTTCAGATTCAAATCCACATCCAAGTTTTCAGGAAACAATTCAAATCCCCATCAAAAGAGTTTATTAGATTCAATTAACATGTAAGTGTACATGCATACAAGCATTTTGAACAATAGCACAACATTGAAAAAACAGCATCAACAACAGCGCCACAGGTTTTTGTGGCCGTCGCCGACCGAGCAGCAGCTGAGATGGATCTGATGAGGGAGCCATCGGATTTGGGAACCCTAGCCGCCGGCGAGGAGGTGTTGGCGGCGAGACCATGGGATTGTTTAGTCTACATCACCCGCCCATTAGCCTTACCCTACCCTGTTCATCACACCAGTCTGATCGTGACATTTTGGTTAACAAAATGATATAAATCCATGTTTGCCTATCCATCTCTTTTGACTTGAACGGCAAGTAGTCCATAGACAGGGGACAATTTAGGCATTCTACAGGGAGGTGTAGTTATTCACTGCTAGACCTTTTTATTCTCAACTGTTACCAGAATTCGGGAATCACAAATGATATATAGATAACACTTTTTTCTTCCATATATATCAAAGATGCATCAGCGATAGATCACAGTTTTTTTTATGCATGTTTTTATCAGTGCCTCGTATATATACATCGATTATTTTTTATACATGTTTTTATCAGTGCCTCACATCGATTATTATTTAATTTTTGTTTTCTGATCACAGTATTTTCATCTCTTTGATGGTTGTTGAAAGGTAAGCAGGAACATGTTCTGCTCGATTCGGGGCTAACCACATGCCTTTTCTTATCATATCATGTACGGTTGTTGTCCCACATAATACTAGATAGAACTCATGCACATTAGTCTAGCTATATTCAAAAACACATTATAACTATGCCTGGTAGATACTAGATAGAACTCATGCACATTAGTCTAGCTACATTAAAAAACGCATGATAACTATGCCTGGGTTTATTGCTATCTATGGTGTGAGTGATAAACATCATCTTCTTGTAAGTGATGAGAGGCTATATATATTCTCCATTTCTTTCAGGAGCCATTTGAACTAGCTAGTATGATGAGATGCCGGAGGATGACAAAGTGATACACATATGCTACGGCGCCCATCCTAATCATTGCTACGAGACGTAATCTTCACTATCTCATGTATTCATATAAATGAAGACACAATATTGTCCCGGGTTATATTCATTTAAATGAAAACTGGATTGTTACTATCTTATGTATTCATATATATATGAAGACACAATATTGTGCCGAGATGATTATTCAATGGATTATTGTAATTACTAGTAGGGTACCTGTGCGTTGCTATGAGAAATTTTGTTGATCACTGGAAAAAAATCGGGCAATCCAATAGACATCCGGAAGTACGGATGGACGGAGTTTGGAGGTGGTTTGACGGTCAGACCGGCAGGGTCCGAGTTCGAGTCTGTTTTCGTCGGGTCTCGGGTTTCCTTGTTCGGGAAGGCTTGTTTCGTGTTTCCTTTGGTTTCTATCCCGAGTTTGGCATGGAGAAGGGCCTGTAGAGGGCAAGACCAACCCTTATTTAAGGGACAAGGCCGGTTCATTGTAAAACCCCCGAATACAATCTACTTGAATCGTTCTTTTACTATGTTTTCTATTTTACCCTAGTTTAGTCCATCTTTGTCGGTTTGCGCCGTAAAACATCCGCCGCCACTGCGAGAGTGCGATACCTCTTTGTAGGTTTGTCCTGAAAACCTTCCGTTTTACCCACGAGACGGGTAGTTATCCTCATATTGATCTAAATCGGCCTAGAGGCTGATTTTGATCTCTAAATCGGCTCCGCTAGCCGGTTTAGTTGTTTTTCTACAAAACCCATCTTGATTTGGCCCTTTGGCTAGATCGAGGTGGTTGGCGACTCTAGGATCACCGCAAGGCATTTAGGTGCTGCGATCGTGCTTGTCGACTTGTCACAAAAAGTTGCCAACACGATTTTTGGCGACTCCACTGGGGAATCGATCTATTCGGACATATTACGGCCGAATTTGCTTTAACCTAGTCGTTTCGTTGAATTAATAGTTTCTACCAAGCGGCCGAAATTAATCTACGCATCACGCCGTCCGCCGCCGCTGCGAGAGTGCGACAACTCTTTGTAGGTTTGTCCTAAAAACCTTCCGTTTTGCCCACGAGACGGGTAGTTATCCTCAAATCGATCTAAATCGGCCTAGAGGCTGATTTTGATCTCTAAATCGGCTTTGCTAGCCGGTTTAGCTGTTTTTCTACAAAACCCATCTTGATTTGGCCGTCTGGCTAGATCGAGGCGGTTGGCGACTCCATATCATCGCAAGTCGTTTAGGTGTTGCGATTGTGCTTGTCGACTTGTCAAAAAAGTTGCCAACACGATTTTTGGTGACTCCGCTAGCCGGTTTAGCTATTTTTCTACAAAACCCATCTTGATTCGGCCCTTTGGCTAGATCGAGGTGGTTGGCGACTAGGATCACCGCAAGGCGTTTAGGTGCTGTGACCGTGCTTGTCAACTTGTCACAAAAAGTTGCCAACACGATTTTGAGATGCTTATGGCTAAGTACAAGAAAGGATTAGCCGGTCAACGATTTGATAATCAAACTAGTGATTCAAAAATACCAAGATCATCTCGTTGGAAGAGATTTGGTCAAACACCAAAGCAATCGGAGCCATCAACTATACCAACTCCATATAAACCTCCAGTTGTGATGCCATGGTATCCATATCCAATGTTACTATATGGTTATCCTTTTATGTATTATATGCCATGGATGCCTCAACCACCTATGCCGTGTCATCAAGGATTGAAGCAATCACCTAGGACGATACCAAGTCATTCTAACTCAAGACAAGACCGTTTCCCACGAAAGAATCGGTCCGGTCGATCAAAGGTGAAAAAGGTGTGGGTGAGGAAAGACCAAAAAGTGGGACATTTCCTTTCATGACGCCTTGATCGGTCCTAATGTATTGTGTAGTAATCACGTTGAACTCGTTCCCGCTCGTCATAGTTGATGAATAAATTCCTTGATTAAATCCGGCCATATAACTCATAGCCGAAATTGCTGACTGAATAGATTAATATACGGTCCTTGATTTCCGTCGG